GTAAATGTCAGATAAACAACGAATACTTATTTAGTATGAAAGGGAGGACTTGTATTCTATATGGCAGCCCACATTCAAGAGATTATCCCTGCTGATAGTGAACTGCAGTATCGGTGGTCAGAAAAACAGTATGTGGGGTGAGGAAAGCTGCGCAGTGCATGGGTTAAAACCAGTTCAGGAGAAAATCAACATAGAAGACAGACAGAATTCTTTTCTGACAAAGCCCTTTTACGTGGAAGGTGAACATAATTGCTTTAAGGAGCAGCAATTTGCTTTAAGCTGCAGCAATCGATGTAGCAAAGCAAAGTGGAAATTCAAAGTGTAAGTTGACCATAACTACAGAGTGCTCTAAACTGGCTAATGATGATACACCATGGCCCCACCTACTGGCCAGAGGGATTTTTTGTTTTGGTGAATCTCTCCAGTACCATCCTTTTACTTTCATTCACCCAACACATTTTTATTGAGCATCTACTATGAGCTGGACACTAAATTAGCTGCTACTGATAAAACAATAAGCAAACACAGATCCAATCCTTGCCCTCCAACAATATAATTTTGTTACATTCCTTTAATTTTTTTCTACTTGTTTTCTTGATTGTAAAAATTCCTCCTAACCAACAAATCACTGATTATAAATAAGAAAACCATATGCTATTTGCCTATTGTATGGGTAGCTCTGAAGTTCTGTATCCCATTTCCAAATGGTTGCCTTAGTCATTCCCTTGGGGACAAGGGATCGTGGTATAAAAGGCGGTTGATCCTGTCAACCGATCTTGCAGCAGGTAAAAAACTGATACCACAGGTCCAGTTTCAGGAGCTGACAGGAAGGTTTAGGGATGCTCCAAAGAGGGGTTCTTTGCTACATGTTTCACAGGTGGCACAATCATTTCTATCACACTTGAATCAATTTTTCGGTTTTAGGCTTAACTACTTACTGTACTACTTTTTAAATACAAGTATCAAGGTTTGTGAGGTTTTAGTTTTAAAGAATAGAGGAAGGAAATGCCAGATACACATAAGTTTCTTGGAATTGACTGACCACTGAGAAACTTATCCTGAGAAAATAATTTAACAGAAAAAGTAAAAGCTATGAATGCATTACCCACAAAACTATAATATTAAAAAGCAGAAAATAATACAAATGTCCAACAATGAGATCTCCTTAAAAATATGTTGTACTCCTGAAAAATAGTTAAAACTATCTAAACAGATGAAAAACACATGACAAACTAACAGAAGAAGCAAAATTCAGATTTGTCTAAAAACTACAATTACAACAATGTAAACATTGACATTGGCCATGCCTTGGTTGACTTTTATTTTAAAAAATTATTGTGATGAGAAGGATAGGATTTTGCTCCGGGCCTCCCCGGTGGCGCAGCGGTTGAGTGCTGGGTTGCGAAGCTGCCCGTAGCCTCTGAAGCACCAGTTTGATGCCCAGCCGCTGGTGAGGGTCCCAATGGCGCACAGACCTCTCCTGCCGCACTCTGTGCCTGCTGCTCCCCTCAGCAGTGTCCTCCTTCTATCTGCCTGTTCTGCTTCCCGCTCTGGCTCTGGTGAATTCTCTCACCCTCCCATGGTTCTGACTGTACCCAGTGCTTGTATAAATAAATAAATTTTTTTTTTAAATTGTGAATTCATTGCCAATGTTAACAAAATCAGAGTTGTAATAAATATCCAGATCTTCAAATACTCTTTTAACACTAGAATTCAAGTTAACAACCCATTAGTCTGTGTAAATAGCTACTTCTGCTTAGACCACAACATGCCTGTTGTACCTTGTCACTTTGCTGACTTGTTACCTAAGTACCACGCGCAGACATTGGTGTTTCAGACCCTGGCAAGTGAGTTATAACTCAGCTAAGGAATGAAATGTTTAAATGAAGTAAACACAATGTAGTGGATATTGTGGGCTGAAATAGTGATCCTAGTAATTGGTGGTAATTAGACAAAGAGTTTATTAGCTAATCAACGTGAGGCCTGGAAACCAGGAACACCCAGACAGATTTGACTCTGACAGAATTGCTCCACTATTCACAAGTTTAAATCAAATTATGTACCTTAGGAAAAAAAGGCAATCATCATTTTCTTACATCAAACAATATAGTGATTGAAACATTACTTTTGGACAAGAGTTTCTGATTTCCAGTTGTAGCTTTTGAAGCATAAAATCCTGTTTGTTTTTTTTTTTAAGGTAAACAATTGGATAACTCAAGTTTTTTTTTTTTAAGATTTATTTATTTATTTATACAGGCACTGGGCACAGATTTATTTATTTATTTATTTATTTAGGGCCTCCCTGGTGGCGCAGCGGTTGAGCGCTGGGTTGCGAAGCTGCCCATAGCCTCTGCAGCACCAGTTCGATACCCGGCCACTGGGTGAGGGTCCCACATGGCTTGCAGACCTCTCCTGCCACCCACTGCTCCCCTCAGCAGTGTATTTTGTCAGTCTGCCTGTTCTGTTCCCTGCTCTGGTGAATTCTCTCACCCTCCTGCGCTTCTGACTGTACCCAATGCTTGTATAAATAAATAAATAAATAAATCTTTAAAAAAATTATTTATTTACACAAGCACTGGGGTACAGGCCAGAGGCTCGGGAGGGTGAGAGGATTCACCAGAGACAGAGTGGGGAACAGAACAGGCAGACCGAAGAAATACACTGCTGAGGGGAGCAGCTGGCGAGAAAGGAGAGGTCTGCTTTGCCATGTGGGATTCTCGCCGGCCAGCCTGGATCAAACCCGGGCTGCAGAGGCTGTGGACAGCTTCACAGTGCGGCGCTCAACCACCTGTGCCACCAGGGAGGCCCTTTATAGTTTTATTCTTATAAAGTACATAATATTCCATTACTTGAAGAAATTTTTAAAAATTAAAGGTAACCCAGGGTTCCCTGGTGGCACGGGGCATTGAGCACAGGGCACTGAGTGCAGCGCTGTGAGGCTGTCCATGGCTTTTGCAGCACAAGTTCGATTCCCGGCCAGCCCGGAGCAACCCACATGGCGTGGCATACCTCACCTGTCTCACCCGCTGCTCCCGTTAGCACTGTGTTTCGGTACATCTGCATGTTCCCGCCTCTCTCTGGTGAATCTTCTCACACACACACCCCCACGATGACTCTGGCCTGTACCCCACTTCTTAAAATAAAAAATTAAAGGTAACCCAGCAATAGGTGATCAATCCAATATTCAATATTAGTCTCAACTGAAACCACTCAGAGAAACATGGATGAGGATAAAGTTCCATTTATGAGCAACAAAAAACTAACTCAAAATATTTAACCATCAGCTCAGTATAAACCAACAGGTTGATGAGTCAGCTGAAGACAATGAGGAAATGAAGTGGATGTCTTGGGGCTCCAGCCACAACCAGTATTCTCTGGTGGTATTGTAACAGGGTGGTCTCCAGGAAAGGGGGAGGATCCCTGCCCCACCCAAGGGAGGGTGGAGCTGAGCAGGAAGAGGAGAAGCTGAAGAAGAGACTGAGGAAGGAAGCAGGATGGAGCCAGAAGGAGACCTGGAGGAGGAGCATGGAGCCTAGAGACACGTGAAGAAACTGCGCTTGTCTTTTGGTCGTGGACTGGGTGACACAGATGTGGGTGAGACCCATGGGGAGGTGACAATGGCAGCTTTTATCTTGATGTTGATTTTGCTCTTTTCCTTCTGGGCTTGTCTGATTGTTTCTGACCCTTTGCTGTGGGTCCCCACTGGAAGGTGCTTTAGACTCATGGCAGGCTTTGGGGCCTTGCTCTGGGCCAATCCCATTTGGATGGACTTTTACCCACGAGGGGACGGGTAACTTTGGGTGCTTCACTTAGAAACTAGACTCTTTGCCTTACCTGTATTGTTTCCTAGTTTTATTAAAGTTCCTTTTCTTTAAAGTCTCCTATGTTTTATGTTGATGCGGCGGATGGCAGAACCCATTTAGAATAGGCAGGTTTGCGGGGTTTTGGGCTGCCCCTCTCCCTGTCCTATAACAGTATCACATCTTCATATAGATTTCAAATATGTATCTACAAGTTCATGAAGGCCTGTGTACAATGTATGAGGAGGTGCCCCCCTTAATAAATTCTTTAAAAAGGAAAAGAAATCAAGAGCTGGACTGGCAACAAGGACAGAGGAAAAGAGCTTTAAGGTTCATGTCTAGAGATCACACATTTCCCCTCAAAGAAAGAGTAGGCCCTGACTCAATTAGTCAGGTTCAGAAGCATCAAGGTTAGACTGGTATGGGCAGATTCAGACGCATTCAGAGCCAACGAGCACACCACAGAGGACTTCCCGATGCTGTTTGGAAGTGGCTCTTCTCACACCAGGTTAAACTCCCATTGTCTTCTGTCTCAAGGTTTGTAGTCAAGAAACTGTCGTTGGCAGAACCCATGTAGAATAGGCAGATTCGCGGGATCTGGGGTGCCCCTCTCCCTGTCCTGTAACAGTTGCTCCTAGGATATTCAGAGCTGTCGGAGAGAACAAGGCAAAGACAAACGTGGATTGCAAAATCTGACCCAGATGGCTACCCATTGGGCCTCTGCCCGCCTCTGCGGTGGAAGATGCTGGAACGGTTCGAACAGATTTCAACAATGTGTGTCATGGTGAAAGCAAAGTCATCTGTTCACCACCAGGGCAGCGGATGAGCCCGGCAAGTATGCCTGCCCTGGGCCGCGTGGGCCCCGGCGCGGCTGGAGCCGAACCGTGCTGGGTTCTATCCGGGCCCCGGGGCTGCTCGGCCGGTTTCCCAACACCGTGATTGTCGCCTGCGCCAAACTCAAGCGGTCTTTTTGTAAGACTTCTAGCAACCACGCTGTCACGTGGGACCTCCCGACATCCGGGCAGGGTCCGCAGCTGGGCTCTCGGATAGCAGGTCGCGACCTCGCTCCCGCACTTCCGCCCGAAGTCGGGCTGGACGCTAGCGGCGCGTGGTGACGTCACCTGTACGCCGGAAGTCTCGGGCGCGCCTTCGGGGCGCCGGCGCAGTGCTGGTGGCAGTTGACTGGTGTCTGGGGTAAGGCGAGCTCCCTGGTAAGGTTCTCTCCGCAGAGCTCTTGGCCGCCCAGGCTGATCAAGGATGTTCATTTCCCCGTCTGACCGCCCCTCCCCTTTGTGTGTGAGGCCGCCCTCCCATTATCTCTCCCGAGGCCCGGGCACCTCTTTGTCGCCTCCAAATTTACTGATCCCTCCTTGCCGCGCGGGTCCCGGCCCTGGGAAAAACCCGGACCCTCAGAATAGTCGGGGAGGCCCTGTTGTCAAGTCGCCAGCATGGACACCTCAGGGATAGGGATAGACATCGTGAGCTAAGGCTCTCGGCTTATTTCTTCCCAACTAGCCAATTCTCTGGGAGATAAAATTTTCATCACCCCCGTGGACTGAGCATCCCCCCCACTTTCATACTCGTTCCCCTAATTGGTATTCTGCTCTTATCCTACTGCGTGAGTTTTATGTGAGTGTTGAGTTGATCTGCGCAGCCAGAGCCATCTCATGGATGAACCATGTCTTCTGCCGCCTTTGGGTACTACCTGTTGTGCCAGGCGCACACTCCTGCATAAAAGAAGATGCCGTTCGAATTCTCCCTGAAGGTTAGGAAGAGGAATGCCAGCGCTGCGGGCTGATAATTATACAAACAAGAGAAATATGTAGGGTGGGGACCCGGAATCACCTCATGAGAATTGCTGCTCTTTGTTTCCTCTGTCATATCTCTTGAATAGTTTCTGGTTTAGTTATCTCTATTGGAATTCCGGCCCAGAATCATTTTTGTAAAGGTCCAAAGTAACCATTTCCAGTTTCTTAACATAGACCTCTGTGTTCACACGCAGGTTTCTGTGGGTGACCCTTGATGGTTGTGGTCAATGTCCCAGAGGGACGCTTCATAAGACAGGTTGCCTGATGCTGGGCTTGGGCCCCTGAATGCCTCTAGGGGGTACTTGTTACAACAGTATTACCATCAGATTCTTTTGGGTACCCTCTGTATCCGTGTGAATACTTATATTTAAGAAATAAAAGAATACTCTTGCTGGCTGGGGGAGGGAAGGTACATGCATTTTGCATATTTACCACTTTATTTTGGAATTTGAAGGCGGGAGATGCTCCAAAGCAGAGCATAGTTGAAGGAGAGAGTGCTCAGGACCATGTGGGAGGCCTCTTGGAGCTGCAGTGTGCTCTTGCTAGCCAATGGATTCTGTTTTGGGAGCCATTTATGGAGTTGATGTCTGAGAATATCACCATGGAATAAATTCCCCTGTAGTAGTAGTCACGTTCTTTCTGTTCCTTTGTAGCCCCAGGATGGACTTTCTGGTTCTCTTCCTGTTCTACCTGGCTTTGATGCTGATTGGTGTTGTTATGATATGCATCTGCCCAGAAATGCATTATGTGACAGGTCTGGTCAGGGGAAGAACACAGGTAATGACGATGCTTGGAGACCACTGGACTTTGAACACCTCCAGTTTAAAAGTTCACCAACTTCCTGACAGAAGAAAAAAGAGATGCCATTTTATTCATTTGTTCATTTGTTTTTTCATTTATAGCAGTTATGGTACAGGCGCACCTAAGCTATTGTGAATTGTGTGCCAGACCACCACAATAAAGTGAATGTCGCATAAAGTGAGTTACACAAATTTTTGGTTTCCCAGTGCATATAGAAGTTAGGTTTATGCTATCCTGTAACCTACAAAGTGTTCAGTAATATTATGTCTGAAACAATAGTGTATGTGTTTTAGTTAAATATACCGCAAAGACACGAAGTGAGCACCTGGAAAAATGGCACCCACAGACTTGTTCAATGAAGGGTTGCCACATACCTTCAATTTATAAAAAACATTATCTGCAAAGTGCAGTAATGCAAAGCATAGTAAAATGAGGTATGCTGGTAAATTCAAGAATCTCTTTTTTGTGTGGGGGGTGGGTTTTGTTACTCTTGAAAGTAATCTTTTTTTTTTTTGTTCGATCCCCGGTGGCCGGGGATCAAACCGGCGCTGCAGAGGCTGCGGACAGCTTCACAGCACGGCGTTCAACCGCTGCGCCACCAGGGGAGACCCTTGAAAGTAATCTTGTGATGATACTTTGAGAAAAGATAGCATTCTCAAGTTTCACTATTTTTTCTCTGGATTTGATGCCTGCCATTGGGCATGGAATGTGAGCAGTATCTGCCTGGAGGGGGCAGATGGGGGCAGATGGGTGCAGATGGGGGATGTGTGAGCTCTTGGGAAAAGGATGACTAGAGAGGGACCAGGGCTAGTGATCTACAGATGGACTCTGGAACCCAAGCGAGGGAAAGGTATGGCATTAACATTAACATTACCTGATCCACCTCTGCTGCTCACATCCCTTTGACTGAAGACCTTGATATGGGGTCAGGGTGGAAATGGAGGAGTTGGTATTAAAGGAAAGGTAGCTGAGGGAAACCCTCCTCTTTATTCTCTTTTAAATCTCTTCTCTGGCCACATGCAGAAACACAACTTAATACCACCAATATTACCAACTGAATGTGTAGCATCTAATTTGTTTCAGAGTAGGGAAATGAGAAATTAAATTGAATCTTTTTTTCTTTGTTTCAGATATTCTCCTGTATAATTTCAGAATGCCTTCAGCAAGCCATACTAGGACTGCTTCATTATCTCTTCCATACACGGTATCTCTGTCTCAATATTTAAATATTATCTTCTTTTCTGTTCAATTGTTAATTGTTGTCCTCTAGCTTCAGACACCTTCTATGGTTTCCTGCATGGTACAGAGAAGAAAGCTAGAAAGGATCAAGCTGGGTTCAAACCCTCTACTCAGATAAAATCTCTAATGTCTGATATCTTGATATGTGTATTTTTAAATAGAAATATTGAAAGAGTGGGAAAATATTGACATGTACTTCTGTAAAAATAAGTATAGTTGGCTCTTGAACCACATCAGTTGGAGCTGCATGGGTCTTCTTATATGTGGAGTTTTTTCTCTTCATGATTCCCACATTCTCTGACTCAGCCAACCATGGGTATTGATTGGTTGAACCCGAAGATATGAAACCCACAGATATGGAGGATGAAAAACTTGTAAAGGACTTGAGCATCTGCAGATTTTGGCATGGGGGTATGTCTGGGGAGTGGGGCTATTCTGAAACTAATCCTGCATAGTACCAAGGGGTGACTCTAATTAAGTTTTGGGGAATCAAAAGTTTAAGTGGATTTAACTGCTCAGGGGTCAGTGCCCCTAATATCAGAGTTGTTCAGGAGGCAGCTGTATGTTCTGACACAATACAGAGACCTTAATTCTCAACAAAGAAAGTAATAATAATAATAGGTACCACTTATTGAATACTTATGTGCTAGGTGCTATGCAAAATGTTTCACATGGTTACTTATGTTACTCTTACTACTATTTCAGGCCCAAAAGCAGTGGTTAGCCTTTCCTCAGTATTATATGATTTCTTCATGGAAAAGTCCCCAGGAGTAAGCCATGTGCCTATTTCTTTTCAGAAACTATATCTTCATTATCTTGCACCTCATCTTGCAAGGGGCGATTTATACTGAATACACCTGGGAAATATTTGGCTACTGTCAAGAGCTGGAGTTCTCCTTATGTTATCTTATTCTGCCCTATCTGCTTCTGATTATAAACCTGATCTTTTTCACATTAACTTGTGTCAGCAACCCTGGTAAGTTGAGGTTTTTAGCATAAAGACTAGTGGCAACTCAACTGTCATCTTTCCTGATAGTGCTGCAAACAAATAGTGATCCTGCCAAGAACTTTGCAAAAGATTTGATATGTATTATTCTCATGATCTTTCAGTTTTGGGTGTTTTTTTTCCCCCCTTTGGGTTATTTAGAACAGCTAAAAAATTTGCATAGCTGTTTTTTTGGTTTATTTTTTGATAGTTATGTTGTCTATAGAGCTTGTGGTTTGTATGATACGGTTCCTTTTTTAATCCTACTGATATTTGCGTTATGCTGATAAGTGGTCCATTTTTTTAAATGATCCATATGTACTTGAAAAGAATGTGTATTTTCTAATTCTTGAATGCAGAGGACCATATAAATTCATTGGCTCAAGCTTGCTAATTATGTTCAAATCTTTTATATTCATACTGATTTTTTGTTTTGAGCAATTACTGAGAGAGGTATATTATCTCATTCTGATGGTAAATTTGACAGATTTCTCCTTCTGCTTTGTTTTTGCTTTATGTATTTTGAAACTATTGTGTGTGTATACATATATAGGTGCATACACATGTATACACATACTATATATATATATATATATATATATATATATATATATATATATATATATATATGACTATGACAGTGGTCCCAATAGGCTGCACCGGAGAGCCTCAGTGTGTAGTAACCTATACCATTTAGGTTTGTGTAACTACACTAGGATTTTCACACAATGACAACATTGCCTAATGATGGAACACATTTACATCATAAGTGACATATGACTGTATATTCTGATTAGATCCATTCAAGGCTAAGATCAGCATTATCTCTTTCTTGAATTTTTTTTCAAAATATAATGAGCCTCTTTGTCCCTTGTAATACTCTTTGCTCTTAAGTCTCTTTTGTCTAATATTAGTATCACACTATCTTTTGATTGATAGTTGCTTGATATTTTTTCCATCCTTTTACTTTTAACCTCTTCTGTCCTTGAAATAACAAATATTTATTAACTGATAAATGAATACATAAAATGTGATATGTCTATTCAATGGGATATCATTCAGAAATCAGAACAAATGAATTCCTTTGCAGCTACAGCATGGATCAACCTTTAACACATTCTACTAAGCAAAAGAAATCACATATTATACAATTCCATTTATGTGAATTACCCAGGAAAGGCAAATCCTTAGATTATTGATTGCCAGGGGCTGGGAGACTAGAGAGAAATGAGGAGTAGGTGCTTAAAGGATTTCTTTTTAGGGTGATATAAGTGTTCCTAATTGATTTGGTGATTGTTGCACAATTCTGTGATTATATTGAAACCAGTGAGTTAATACATTTTTTTTTAAAGATTTATTCATTTATGCATACAAGAGCTGGGGTACAGGCCAGAGATGCGGTGGGTGAGAGGATTCACCAGAGACAGAGTGGGGAACAATACAGGCAGATTGACCAAAATACACTGCTGAGGGGAGCAGCGGGTGAGTCAGGAGAGCTCTACTGCGCCATGTGGGTTGCTCCCTGGCCGGCTGAGATCAAACTCATGCTGCAGAGACTGTGGATAGCTTCATAGGTTGCGTCTTAACCCTTGCGCCACCAGGGAGGTCCAGTTATACATTTTCTTTTTTTTTTTTTTTTTTTTTTTAGATTTTTTATTTATTTATTTATTTGTTTTGTTTATACAAGCACTGGGTACAGTCAGAAGCGCGGGAGGGTGAGAGAATTCACCAGAGCCAGAGCGGGGAGCAGAGCAGGCAGAAGGACCGAAATACACTGCTGAGGGGAGCAGCGGGCGGCAGGAGAGGTCTGCGCGCCATGTGGGACCCTCCTCCGGTGGCCGGGGAGCAGCCGGGGATCGAACTGGCGCCGCAGAGGCTGCGGGCAGCTTCGCAACCCAGCGCTCAACCGCTGCGCCACCGGGGAGGCCCTAGTTATACATTTTCAATGAGTAAATTAGGTTTATGAATTATATCTTAATAAAGCTGTTCAAATTTATAAAATGAATTCTTTAACTATTAAGTATGGAGTTTTGGTTGTGCTGTTGGTTGTCTTGTATTGTTCAAATCTGACATTTGTCCTTACTTATTTCAGGAACCATAACAAAGGCAAATGAATTACTGTTTCTTAAAGTATATGAATTTGATGAAGTGATGTTCCCAATGAACAGGAGCTGCCCCACTTGTGATTTAAGGAAACCCGCGCGATCCAAGCACTGCAGTGAGTGTGCTCTGGCTGCTCTAGTTCATCCCTTGCACCTCAGACACATAGGCTTAGTTGAAGGGAATGTTACAGAAGTCTAAAAGCAGGATGCCTGATCATGGCTTCTTTCAGATGTCTGGAATGAGGTCTTGTGCCTTTCTGTAGAGGGCTGCCCCTGCCCCAGGCGTGCTGTCCTTCCCTGCCATGCGGCAGAGCATGCTGCCCTTCACTGCCATGCGGCAGAGCATGCTGCCCAAGAGATGTTTCAGCAGGATGTTGTGTTTGCCTGCTCTTGTAGGAGAGGCCAAGATTCTAGATTAATGCTGTCCAACAAAAATGTAATATCAGCCACATGTGTGATTTTAATTTTCCAGTAGTCACATTACAAAAGTAAAAAGAAATAGGCAAAATTAATTTTAATCATGTTTTATTAAACTAACACACTAAAATACTATTTTAACATATAATCAATGTAAAAAAGTCATTCATGTGATAATTTGTTCCTTTTTCAAGCTAAGTCTTTGAAATCTAGTATTTATTTTACATTACAGCATATCTCAATTAAAACACTAAATTTTCATTGGAAATCTTTTACTCGTATTTAGATTTCATAAAATTTACAGTTGAAAGAGTAGATTCACATACCTGAACTATTCCAGATGTTCTTGGAAGTTTACCAGTAATTGAATCAGTACCAAAAAAATCATTCTTTAATATCCATATCCACATTATCATAATAGTTCATCTGTATTAGAACTGATTTGAGTTTAAAGCAGGGGTGTCTTTTAAAATTAGTTTTGTCCAAGTTATGTAAATTCACCAACTCATGTGATATGACAGTATTATTCATACCGAGTCAAAGGAGCATTTCATAAATTGAAAACAATTGGACAATTATCAATATCAACAAAATATTCTTTAAAATTTTTTTTGTAGCTACATTTCAAGTGCTCAATACCTACATGTGGCTAACAGCTATTATATTGGGTACTGTAGTTCTCAAAACTTGAAGATAGTAGCTGCCAGTTCCCCCAGCAGTCAGTTTGTAAGGATCTCTGTAGGTGTGCATGCTGTGTCATTGTCCCATGAAGGATCAACCAAGAGTTGTGACTCCTCATTTCTGTGCAGGCGTCTGTAACCGCTGTGTACACCGTTTTGACCATCACTGCATTTGGGTGAACAACTGCATTGGAGCCTGGAATGTGAAGTATTTCTTTCTATACCTCTTGACATTGACGGCCTCAGCTGCCTCCATGGCCGTCGTGAGCACTGTGTTTCTGGTCCAGTTGGTGGTGTTGTCTGACATGTACTCGAAGACTTACATCGATGACCTGGGGCACTCCCAAGTTATTGACACCGTCTTTCTTATTCAGGTAATGAGTTATTCAGGCAGTTGTGTTGTGGGCTATATGTTTATGACTTCAGGTCAAAATTGAAAAAAGGACATTTGTTTTCTTAGTAAAAACATGAAATTATTCCTTTTTTAAAAAATTATAATTTAAAAAATTAATATATAATTCACGTGGTAAAATTTACCCTTTTAAAATTTATGATTAGTGGTTTTGGTATGTGCACTGGGTGGTACAGTCATTGCCACCTTCAGGGCATCTCATCACCCCAAAAAGTTGTTTATACCTATTAGCAATTATTCCCTATTCCCTTCTTTTCCAGTCCCTGGCATCCACTAATCTACTCTTTGTCTCTATGGAATTGCCTTTGTTTTGCTGTTTCATTTCAGTGGAATCATAAAGCATGTGGCCTTTGAAGTGGCTTCTTTCACTTAATGTTTTCAAACTTCATCTGTGTTGTAGCACAATCGCTACTTCTTTCCTTTTTATAGCTGAGTAATATTTCATCATGCTGATATGCCACATTTTATTTATATATCAATTGATGGACATTTGGGGGGTTCCACTTTTTGTTTCTTTTTGAATAATGATGCTGGGAATATTGGTGTACAGTGTTTGTGTGAACGTAGGTATTTATTTGAGTAGATACCTAGAACTGGAACCAAAAGTCATGTTGGTAACTCTATTTCTTTTTTTTTTTTTTTTTTTTTTTTAGAGGCATGCTTTATTTATTTATTTATTCATTTGTTTGTTTTGTTTATACATGCACTGGGTACAGTCAGAAGCACGGGAGGGTGAGAGAATTCACCAGAGCCAGAGCGGGGAGCAGAGCAGGCAGAAGGACCGAAGTACACTGCTGAGGGGAGCAGCGGGCGGCAGGAGAGGTCTGCGCACCATGTGGGACCCTCCTCCGGTGGCTGGGGAGCAGCCGGGGATCGAACCGGCGCTGCAGAGGCTGCTGGCAGCTTCGCAACCCAGCGCTCAACAGCTGCGCCACCGGGGAGGCCCGGTAACTCTATTTCTAATCATTTGAGGAACTGCTAGACTATTCTCCAAAATGTTTGCAGCATTTTACATTCCCACCAGCAGTGTATGAGGGCTCTGGGGCTCCGATTTCTTTTTTATTTTATTTTATTTTTGCATAGAAAAACTGGGGTATAGGCCAGAGGTGTGGATGTGTGTGTAAAAGGATTCACCAGAGACAAGAGTGCAGAACAGAACAGGCAGATCTACTGATATACACTGCTGAGGGGAGCAGCCAGTGAGACAGGAGAGATGTGCTATGCCATGTGGGTTACCTCCCTGCCTGGGGATTAGGTCCCTGGCCAGGGATCAAACTCAGGCTGTAGTGGTGATCGTGCCAAGAGTTAACCCATAGGCTACCAGGGAGACCCCCAGGGCTCCAATTTCTCTGCATTTCATGAGTACTTTATGTCCTTTTGATTAGGTCTGTACTAATGGATAGAAAGTCATTATGGTTTGATTTGGATTTCCTTCTTTTCATGTGCTTCTTGGCTATTTGTGTATCTTCTTTGGAGAAGAAGGTTTAGAAAAGGAGGAGCTCAGTTTTAGGTTGGGTTAGTTGTCTTTTTTTTTTTTTTTTTTTTTAAAGATTATTTATTTATTTATACAAGCACTGGGTACAGTCAGAAGCGCGGGAGGGTGAGAGAATTCCCAGAGCCAGAGTGGGGAACAGAGCAGGCAGAAGGACTGAAGTACACTGCTGAGGGGAGCAGCGGGCAGCAGGAGAGGTCTGCGGGCCATGCGGGACCCTCCTCCAGTGGCCGGGGAGCAGCTGGGGATCAAACCGGTGCTGCAGAGGCTGCTGGCAGCTTGGCAACCCAGCGCTCAACCACTGCGCCACCAGGGAGGCCCTGGGTTAGTTGTCTTTTATTCTTGTGTTTTTTTTTATATTTTGGACACTTGAACCTTATATATAATTTGCAAATATTTTCTTCCATTCTGTGGGTTGTGTTTTCCCTTTTTTGATCATTTTCTCTAAAACATGGACATTTTTACTTTTTTTTTTTTTTAAGACTTATTTATTTATGCATACAAGAGCTGGGTACAGGCCAGAGGTGTAGGGGGTGAGAGAATTCACCAGAGACAGAGAGGGGAACAGAACAGGCAGACTGAAATACACTGATGAAGGGGCCCAGCAGCGGGCGAGACAGGAGAGGTCTCCTTTGCGATGTGGGTTGCTCCCTGGCCGGCCGGGGATCGAACTCGTGCTGCAGAGGCTGTTTATTGCTTCATAGTGTGGTGCTTAACCCCTTTCGCCACCAGGGAGGTCCCATTTTTACTTTTGATGTTTGATTTCTTTTTCTTTTTTCTTTTATTGCTTGTGTTTTGGTGTCACATCTGAGAGACCATTACTAAGGTCATAAAGATTTACGCTTGTGTTTTCTTCTAAGTTTTTTTCATAGTTTTAACTCTTACATTTAGGTCCATGGTCCACTTTGAGTTAATTTTTGTATGTGGTATGAGATAGGGTTCCAACTTTATTTTTTGGTATGTGGATATCCAGTTGCCCCAGCACCTTTTGTTGAAAAGACTGTTCTTTTCTTGTACTGGGACCCTTGTCAAAAATTAGTTTACCACAATGTAGGACTGAAGTCATTCTTTTAAAAACTCATTTGGTTGCTAAAAGACTTCTTTTTCTTTAATGTGAAACAATGTATGACCATTTTTTAAAACTTCCTAATTCTCCTAGAACGTTTGCTCTTTGCCATGAGCAAAGAAAATAAAATGCCATGAGCAAGTGATATGCATTTCATGAATTTCAGGTAGGTTCAATATTAGTAAATTGATTAATATTTCAAACCATATTGTTAAGGATAAGGAAAAATGGCATGGTTATTTCTCTAGATGCTAAAAAGACTTTCACAAAATTCAATCCTATTCCATGATAAAAACAATCAAAAATAGGAATTGAAGGTATTATCTCTTTTTTTTTTTAAAGATTTACTTATTTATGCATACAAGAACTGGGGTACAGGCCAGAAGTGCAGAGGGTGAGCGGATTCACCAGAGACAGAGTGGGGAGCACAACAGGCAAACTGACTGAAATACACTGCTGAGGGGAGCAGCAGGTGAGACAGGAGAAGTCTGCTGCACCATGTGGGCAGCTCCCTGGCCTGGGATCAAACTCGTGCTGCAGTGGCTGTGGACAGCTTCATAGGTTTTGTAGTTTGGTGTCTTATTTACAGGCTTTTTCCTTATATTATGCAAATGGCCATATATCTTTACAGAGGCAGCTTTATTTGTTTTTTACATAAATAGGAACCCATTAGGCTCCTTGCTTCTTGTTTGTCTTTTGAGCGACATGTTACCAACATCTTTTTCCAAATCAGTACATAGAAACTAACCTCATTTTTAACAACTCCTTATTATCCCATAGTTGGTGGAAAGACATTTAACTTCTTCCCTTGGGGAGTAGGGGTTGAAGCCAACACTATAGTGAAAACCCCATAAATGTTTTTCTGTGGTCATATTATTTATTTATTATTTATTTTTTTAACTTTTTTTTAATAAATCTTTTTTTAAAGATTTATTTATTTATTTATACAAGCACTGGGTACAGTCAGAAGCACGGGAGGGTGAGAGAATTCACCAGAGCCAGAGTGGGGAAGAGAACAGGCAGAGTGACGAAACACACTGCTGAGGGGAGCTGAGGGCGGCAGGAGAGGTCTGCGCCCCATGTGGGACCCTCACTGGCGGCCGGGGAACAAACCAGCACTGCAGAGGCTGCGGGCAGCATAGCAGCCCAGCGCTCAACCGCTGTGCCACCAGGGGAGGCCCTGTGGTCATCTTATTTTAAGAGGGAGATTGGGCTCTTCTGTTCATCTGGGACTTAATTTTGATCCATGCATGAGCTAAGCTCTACATTTATTTTACTTTCTCCTGAGTATTCTTCCCCTTGTCCTCCAACATACACACTTCATTTATCCCATGATAGAATCTTGTACATACTAGGGTTTCGTCCTAAGCTGTTGATTGTGCTGTTTATGGTTCTGATTGGTGGCTCAGTGAGTCAGATGTATATGGAGGTGGGTAAGCTGTGGGCAAGCAGCTCTGATGTGTTTATAGAAAGGACTGAGCCTGATGGGTGCTGGTTAACTAACACGCCGTTTCTTTTGCCCCCAGTACCTGTTCCTGACCTTCCCAAGGATTGTCTTCATGTTGGGCTTTGTTGTGGTGCTCAGCTTCCTCCTGGGGGGCTACCTGTGCTTCTCTCTGTACCTGGCTGCCACCAACCAGACCACTAATGAGTGGCACAAGGCTCGGGCCTACTGCCAACCTTGCCACCCTGCATCCCGACCTCCATCAGCAAAGTCACATGTCTACCAGAACATTTACTCCCGTAGACTTTGGAGCAACCTTGGAGAGATCTTTCTACCTGCTGCAGCACATTATGACAGGAAGAAGAAATAAGAATGGAAAGAGTATTACTGCCTTTTAAATATTGTATACAGTTATTTATACATACGGATATTTTTTAAGAATTTGTTTTATTAAGTTTTGTCTTTCTGGTTTCTGTTGTATGTTTATAAATTGGCCTCCAGGGGTTAAGGATGGGAGAGTGCTAATCCTTGATGGGTATGGGGCCAGATACTGTGGTAGAAATCCCCCTTGCCTATCCTCAGCACGTTGGAACGAGTGTCTCTGAAGTACAGATGCCAGTGGGATCATGGAGGACTTCTCAGTCGCTACCCACCACACTTCTCACCCTGGACTAGGCTTCCCCACACCAGGAACTTATGGCTGTCCCTTGATATGCAGGAGGGTGTAACTGACTCAGAGCTGTGCCTGGCTGCACCCTCTTTGATGCCTTTCCCTCCTCTCTATCCCATCTCTCCCAGGGAATCCCTTGACTTATTTTTCATCTCCTTACACCCAGCATCCTCACCCTCATTGGCTCTTGGCCCACAAAGTACATTTCTGTAACTAGTCTCCTCCTGTTATAGGACAGGGAGAGGGTCAGCCCAAACCCCGCAAACCTGCCTATTGTCTATTCTAAATGGGTTCTGCCATCCGCCGCATCAACAGAAAACATAGGAGACTTTAAGGGGAAGGAACTTTAATAAAACTAGGAAACAATACAGGTAAGGCAGAGTCCAGTTTCTAAATGAAGCACCCAAAGTTACCCGTCCCCTCGTGGGTAAAAGTCCATCCAAATGGGATTGGCCCAGAGCAAGGCCCCAAAGCCTGCCATAAGTCTAAGGCATCTTCCAGTGGGGACCCTTAGAAAAGGGTCAGAAACAACCAGACAAACCCGGAAGGAAAAGAGCAAAATCAACATCAAGATAAAAGCTGCCATTGTCACCTCCCCATGGGTCTCACCCACATCTGTGTCACCCAGTCCACGACTAAAAGACAAGTGCAGTTTCTTCACGTGTCTCTAGGCTCCATGTGCCTCCTCCAGGTCTCCTGGCTCCATCCTGCTCCTTCCTTCCTCAGTCTCTTCTTCAGCTTCTCCTCTTCCTGCTCAGCTCCACCCTCCCTTGGGTGGGGCAGGGAACCTCCCCCTTTCCTGGGGACCACCCTGTTACACTCCTGCCACTGGCCATTTAGGGTCGTGGCCTCTTAAGCCTTTTTCTAACATTTAAAAATTCCAAAACTATGTTCCCTCTATCCAGCCTTCCCTCTTCCCAAGCCCAGGTAATTCTCTGCAGAGATGAATGCCAGAAAAGACCTTCACAGGAAGTGCTGAGGACTTTCAGCGCTCCTTTTCTCAGTCTTCAGGAACAAAAGAGGGTGCAATAGTGAAAGATAAGAACTTGCAGGATAGCTAAGGTCTCCATGGCCTTCCCAGGCTAGGTGACATGGGGGAGATTGGGAACTAGGGGCCCTTGGGACAGGAATCGAGTGGGTAGGTATCATGTTGTCATTGTAGCCTATGAGTGCAGCACCGGTGTAATCCATTCGGTGAATTCTAGGGCCTAGCCCCGGGCCCGGCACCACCAACCTATCTCCTGGTGGAAAAACACGGTGAAATCAAATAGTGGAGGCTTTTAAGGCTGCATGAAGGAAGCCAGACGAGCTCGAGAAAGTCTTGCGCTGGGTGGGGGCGCGATCACCATTAAGCGGTCACAGGTGGGTGTGGCACCTCCCGCCGGAGCGCCGTGGACCCCGGGGCTCGGGTCCGGGGGCGGTTCGGGGCCCGGAGTGGGGCCCGCGGGGGCGGAGTCTGCCGCCGCCGCCGCGGCCTCCCGCGCCCGCCGGCCGGGCCGCCAGGGGGCGCCCTCCGAGAGCGGGCGCTCGCCGCCGCCGCCCGAGCTTGGCCCCTGCGGGCCGCCGTCGCGCACTCGGCATTCCGCCGCCGTTCGGCTCCGCGGCGTCGGGCTCCCGCGGCTCTCGCTGGCGCAGCCGTCGCACACCCGGGGCGCCCGCCGGCCGGCGGCGGCGATGGCCCCCTGAGCAGGCCCGGGCGGGAAGCGGCGGGCGGCCGGGCACCGCGGCCCGCGCCCGGGGGCGGCGGGCGGCGGGCCGGTCGCGGCCTCTTTGTCTCGGCGGCGGCGGCGGCGGGCGCGGCGCGGCGCGGGCGGAAGTCCCGACGCGCTCCCCGCGCCCGGCCGCCGCGGCGGCGCCATGAGCGACATCCGCCACTCGCTGCTGCGCCGCGACGCGCTGAGCGCCGCCAAGGAGGTGCTGTACCACCTGGACATCTTCTTCAGCAGCCAGCTGCAGAGCGCGCCGCTGCCCATCGTGGACAAGGGCTCCGTGGAGCTGCTCGAGGAGTTCGTGTTCCAGGTGCCCAAGGAGCGCGGCGCGCAGCCCAAGGTGCGGCGGGCGGGCGAGCCCCGCGGCCCGGGGCCGAGCTCCCTCCTCCCCTCCCTCCCCCGGGGCGCGGCGCGCCGGGCGTGCGTTCTCGCCCCGGCCTCGCTCCTTCCGCAGCCGCCAGACCCACCTCCTCTGGGCGCGGGGCGCTGCTCGCGGGCGCCTGGGTCGCGGGACGCGTGACAGCCGCTGCTGAGGGGTGGTGAGGGCCTGGTAGCCGAGCGTCTCGAACCGCCGCAGGTGATCCCCGGTCCCCCCGGACTGACATTTCCTGCGAGCCACGGTAGAGCTCTGCTCTGGGAGTGGGCTGTAGAGTGCTGAGAAGTTCTCAGGGGAGACTAGTGTATGTTCTGCTTTCTTGCTGTGTGAGTTAATAAGCATGCTCAAGCCAAATTTCTTACTGCTTCGCCTGGATTTGTTTTACAGAGATTGAATTCACTGCAGGAGCTTCAGCTTCTTGAAATCATGTGCAATTATTTCCAGGAGCAAACCAAGGACTCTGTCCGGCAGATTATTTTCTCATCCCTTTTCAGCCCTCAAGGGAACAAAGCTGATGACAGCCGGATGAGCTTGTTGGGAAAACTAGTCTCCATGGCGGTAGCTGTGTGTCGCATCCCAGTGTTAGAGTGTGCAGCCTCCTGGCTCCAGGTACTTCTCTAGAAATTGCCTTCTCCCCAGGGTCTCTGTCCCTGTGTCACTGGATGTGTGACAGCCACATCTCAATGGTGTTAAAGGCCTGTTATTGAGAGTCTCAAGTCTGAAGAGGACTTTAGTGTCAGGATTTTGCATTTAATTGGATTTCCGCGGAAGCCTTTTTCGCATGTTGCCTCCTTGATGCCACTACCCAGTGTGCTGATACTCTAGAGCTGAATTTACACATAGATAGTAACCATTCTTGAGAAAACTTTAGTTTGTAGTGGTAAATAAATTAAGAAAGCAAGTGGAAAATCATTTTTCTTAGTTGGAAGTTACATGGTAGGATTTTGAAAACAGGTATGCATGCAGCCCCAAAGGTAGGATTTTTTTAAAAGGTCATTATATGTCTACTTTTGGCAGTTAGATTTTCTGCTTAATTTTCTGTAGTTAGTGAACATGTGAATTGTTTTGCATCATTTCAGGGTGATTTTGCAAAGTTTGCAAAGTGCATGGCTCTTATAATGAATATGCATTAAGTAGCAAGAAAAAATGTATATTTACAATAAATTTTGTGTTGGATGGTATTTTTGGATGATTTATTTTGGTTTTTGTTAATTAAAGTGTTTGAAAATTTGATAATCCATCATTATCAACTCAAAATTTTAGTTAATGTGATCCTCAGACAAGTTAATGGAATTTATTACATTCAGTTTCACAACCTGCTGCTCTACTCCCAAGTGTGTAGAATCATTTGCATTTGTTTCAGTTTGTTTTTCTTGTAATCTTGTTTATCCTGAAAATTTGGCTAGCAAAATTATATTTTTTTTTAGTGCATAGGTAGATTTCAGTGAAAACTATATCTTAGTTCTCACCAGTCTGATTTCTAGGGTGCGTTGTATTGAACATCAGAATTGTCTCTAACCCTTGACAGACTAGTGAAGTCAAGCTTGGCATCTTGTAATTCATCATGTAGTTTTCTGTTTTCCTCTCATGGTGCTGCTGCGCTGGCTTTTTGGCAAAATGAAAACAAATATTAGTGACAGGAAAGGATTTTAGTGGTTTGGGCCAGATTTTGCCCTAGTGAAGAAGGTTCCAGATGGCCGGGTTGAGATTGTAGGAGCAGATTTCAGCTTGAATGATTGGTCTGGTCTACTGTCTCTGCACTTGCCCCTGCAGCCTCATTGCGCCTGGGAGCTGTAGCATCCTGAGCAGCAGTTGTATGAAGGTGGCCATAACTATAGATTGGTTTCTGAGTGGGAAGGAGAAAAGCAGAGGAGGGTGGTCCTGTTGGATTGAAAAACAGTACTCAATCATGGTATAGGAAGCCTGAAAGAGAGCAGAATTGGAAAGGAAATCCAGAAAGGAATCCTCTAAATAAACATCTGAAGCATAAATGGTTCACAGACCCTCCTAAACCTCTTGAAAGTAATCACAAGCGTTAGTTTTTACCTGTGAAGTGTCATCTGTGGGATTATATAAGTTGTCATTTCCTCACTGGAAGTCAGGTACCATCTTTCCTAAGTGAACTTGAAAGCAAGGGTCAGCAGGTATATTATATGTAAAGGGTAAGACGGTAAATATTTCAGGCTCTGCCACAATAACTCAGCTCTGCTTTGCAGTGTAAGAGCAGCCTCAGACAATAGGCAAGCACATAGGAAAGCTGTGTTTTAATAAAAGTATTTTTTTAAAGATTTATTTATTTATTTATACAAGAACCGGGGTACAGGCCAGATGCGCAGGAGGGTGAGAGGATTCACCAGAGACAGAGTGGGGAACAGAACAGGCAGACTGACGAAATACACTGCTGAAGGGAGCAGCGGGTACAACAGGAGAGGTCTGCAGCGCCATGTGGGACCCTCGCCAGCGCTGCAGAGAGAACCGGCGCTGCAGAGGCTGCGGACAGCTTCATAGCACAGCGCTCAACCGCCCGCGCCACCAGGGGAGACCCTTAATAAAAGTTTATTTACAGAAACAGATAATGGGATGGGTTTGGTCTGTGGACTTTAATTGACCAACCCCTGCTTCAAAGTAAGCTCCTTACCTCTTCCACTCCTGGAAGAGGTCCTGCCACTAATGACGGCCTCCGCCATGTATGCTTCGGTGCTAGTCTACTAGCTCACAACGCCTGTAGTTACATGGGCTGTGCTTCTTTGCAGCGGACCCCCGTGGTGTACTGTGTGAGGTTAGCCAGGGCCCTTGTGGACGACTACTGCTGCTTGGTGCCAGGATCCGTTCAGACCCTGAAGCAGATATTCAGTGCCAGTCCTCGCTTCTGCTGCCAGTTCATAACCTCCGTCACTGCGCTTTATGACCTCTCTTCAGGTAAACTTTATACAGGTTGTTGCCATTTGAGAAGCTTTAACTGATGCCAATTTTATTTCTACTGAACCCCAGGTGAAATGTACAGTGATTGCTTTAGCCTTTTTTTCTTTCAAATGTGTATTTTATTTTAGGCTGAAAGCTAAAGGTACAGACCACTGAACTTCTAGAATTTGCTAACCGGGAACTTTTCTTAGTGATATCCAGTTGCCTGACTTCTACTGACATGTGTCTCCCCCACCCCACACTTTCCTCTTCGTGTTTGACTTTGGCCCTAAGCAACCTAGATGGGGCTTGGGTATCCTTACCTAGCTTTCCCAGGGGCTCTGGGGTGCCCAGCCCTAGACAGGAGGCTGGGGACCTGCTCCCAGGCACACAGCCAACTCAAGGGCATTGCATGCCGATCCCAGGGGGGATTGTGCCTAATGGTAAGAGCCAGGCCACCCGGACCAGACCTTTTGATGACTCCTGGGGAGAGTATTTCACTTGGCCTCGGTTTCCTCATCTCATCTAATAGATGGGATGGTTGGAGGATTAAACGAGCTAATCTGTGTAAAAGATTTAGACCAATGCCTGACACATGGCAAGCCAAAAATAAATGTCAACTTTTTTTTTTTTCTCATGGTGCTCTCTCTGGGCTGTAGGATGTGCCAGTTCTTGAGTCAAATTGTGCTTACACAGAGGTTCCAGGTTTGGGGCAGATGACCCTTGGAATCCCTGACCAGGCTGCTCCTGTAGCTGTCACTGTGTTATGGAGGGGATACCAAACACTGGGATGGCAGGGAAGAGTAATGTGTGATATAGTGTTAGACACAAAAACTGGCATTTTATTTAAATTGACCCATAGGATGAAATTTCTTCAAGGTATAATAGGATTTTAGGGAATTGTTTTTTTTTTTTTTTTTTTTTAACGATTTATTTATTTATTTATACAAGCACTGGGTACAGTCAGAAGCGCGGGAGGGTGAGAGAATTCACCAGAGCCAGAGTGGGGAGCAGAGCAGGCAGAAGGACCGAAGTACACTGCTGAGGGGAGCAGCGGGCGGCAGGAGAGGTCTGCGCGCCATGTGGGACCCTCCTCCAGTGGCCGGGGAGCAGCTGGGGATCGAACCGGAGCTGCAGAGGCTGCAGGGAGCTTCGCAACCCAGCGCTCAACCGCTGCGCTACCGGGGAGACCCTTAGGGAATTGTTTTAACAAATATTTTTTGAGCCCACCTTGGACAGATGATTCTAGCACTGGGGATTTAACACTGAAGAAGATGAAAGTGCCAGCGCTCACAGAGGGGCTCTTCTAGAAAAGGAGACAGAAAGTAGATAAGTCCAGGAAGTATGTGGTCAGAAAGTCAGGTGGTCAGTCCAGTATCAAGGGGTCCGTCTCCTCTCCCCCACTTCCATTTCCTTGTGGCAGCTGGAAGCCCTCTGACCTCATGTATCTCTGTTTGCAGATGATCTCATTCCACCATTGGACTTGCTCGAAATGATTGTCAACTGGGTTTTTGAGGACCCTCGGTTGATTCTTATCACTTTTTTAAATACTCCAATAGCAGCCAATCTCCCAATAGGCTTTTTAGAGCTCACCCCGCTTACTGGATTGATCCGCTGGTGTGTGAAGGCCCCTCTGGCTTATAAAAGGAAGAAGAAGCCCTCCTTATCCAATGGCCACGTCACTGCCAAAGTTCCAAAGGACTCGGGAGGGATGGACAGAGACTTCCACCTCTTGTACTCGAAACTCCACCTCAGCGTCCTGCAGGTGCTCATGATGCTTCAGGTGCACTTGACTGAGAAGAATCTTTATGGGCGCCTGGGACTGATCCTGTTTGACCACATGGTCCCACTGGTCGAAGAGATCAATAGACTGGCAGATGAACTGAACCCCCTCAATGCCTCCCAGGAAATTGAGCTGTCTCTGGACCGTCTCGCACAGGCTTTACAGGTGGCCATGGCCTCTGGAGCCCTGCTGTGCACACGAGGTGGGTGATTTCAGGGCCCAGGCCTTCCTAGGGGTGGGCACATCTCTACCCATCAGAGAAAGAACTAGGGCTTCCTGGATGGTACTGTTTTCTGCTGCACTTAGGACTCCTATCCTAAGTGAGGACGACTCCAGGCCTGCATCATAGCTTCGTATTTTTCTTATTAAGGAATCTTTTCCTTCTCCTGTGCAGTCCTTTTTTTTCCCCCCAATTGAGGTATAGTTTTCATCCAGTAAAATGCAGAGGCTTAAGTGTAAAGCTTGATGGGTTTTGACCAAATGTATTCACTTATAACCACCCCCCGTACGTGTAAAACATACCCACCACCTGTTGTTCTCCCACACATCGGTGCTGCATGTTAACTATCGGCTCCCAGAGGTGGCCTGCAACCTGTGTGGTGGTCGCAGGCACTGGGTTCCCCCTTGCTGCTCTTATAAGGCCATGGTGTCTGATAAGCTCGGTGAGAGCCCCACCTTGGGGGCGCATCTGGATAAGTTACCCAGAGCTGCCTCTCCTAAGTAACATATTTTGTTTGAGATTTAGTTGTTAATGCAAAAATGGGAGAAAAAGAGAACCTCGTTTCTCAGAGATGCTGAAAGTGCAGTGCAGCTGCTCTTCTGTGCACCTCTCCTTACTACGTGTCTTTGATTTCAGATGACCTGAGGACCTTATGCTCCCGGCTGCCCCACAATAAGTAAGTGCCTCGCAGACTTCTTACTGGGGGCAGGGCGTGCAAGTGGGGACACCCCTCGTCCTGGCTTCCTTGGGGAGCTGGTCTGCAGGGTTCAGAGCTGCTGTCCATAAGGAGCCCCTGGAGGACCTGATGATAAATGGGGAGTGGACATGAGAGGAAGCCCGAGTAGAGACAAAATTAGAGATGAGGAAAGGGGTGATCCTGCTGGTTCAGGGAAGAAAACCAGAATAAACTGATGTGGTCACAGTGCATCAGTGTTTCCTGGTGACCCTGAATCGCATACACCTCTCTCTCAGACAGCACAGCCCTGGCACTGGGTGTCAGTTGGGCTGCGAGCTGGCAGCAGGTGATGCAGACCAGGTTCTGAGTGTGGTCTTGTTTGGGGTTTGCTTCCTCACCTGGGTGATCTCACGTCAGTTCCCCTACACACACGTGCATGCGCACACACATGTGCTTGTAAAATGCAGATGGTGTTTTTGGTTGTGTCTTGGTGTTGTGGTAGGGGTTGAACCGGGTGGTGGTGGGAAATTCCTGAGCATGGGTTGTGGCGCACAGGGTCTCGGCAGGTGGTGGTTACTGTCATCATTCTAGGGAGGCAGCGATGGTGGTGCACAGCGGGATCCGTGTGGCCGCCTCGCTCCGGGGGAAGAATTCCAACTTTGCTACTTCCTGCCTCTCTGACCTTGGGCAAGTTCCTGCCTCTCTGACCTCGGGCAAGTTCCTTATCTCCTGCTGCACCTGTTTTCCCTAGAAATAGATTTTTTTCTTTCTCTAGAAATAGATTTTTTTCTATTGAGAAAATAATAGTGACCTGTTCAATGCACACCGCCCCCTCCGCCCCGCCATATGATTTTTGTGAGACTTAAATGAGTGAAAACACCGAAAGCACTTACAACAGTACTTGGATGTAGTATCTACTAAGTGTGACTACTGCCACTTACTTTACTAACAGGCATTTCATTTAATCTTATTCACTGAACCTAAGAGCAAAAGACTGTGTGCCCAAAAATGTCCCATGCAAATGCGGCAATACTAGTAGCAAAACCCCAGAAGTAGCCCTGTCTCCAGCGTGGGATGCTTAGTAAGTAGGGACACATCAGAAGGCTAGAACCGGGTATCCACTAAAAACAGTCATTGTGGCCGCTGTGTGGGGAAGTGTCTACAGCGGAGGCCAGACTCCCCTGCACGCTGTAGGTGCGCCTGGGCAGGGTCATGGAAAGGAACGTGACTGAGTTAAGCCGGTAGGATGATTAGGGTTCTTCAAGGACCCCACTAATTTTTTTTTAAAGATTTATTTATACAAGAGCTGGGGTACAGGCCAGAGGCGCGAGAGGGTGAGAGGATTCACCAGAGACAGAGCTGGGAGTGGAACAGGCAGATGGACCAAAAGCACTGCTGAGGGAAGCAGCGGGCGAGACAGGAGAGATCCGCTGCGCCATGTGGGAATCTCCCTGGCTGGCTGGGAATCGAACCCATGCTGCAGAGGCTATAGACAGCTTCACAGCACTGCACTGAACCCACTGCGCCACTGGGGAGGCCCTGACCCCATTGATTTTTAACAGGGATAGTGGGCTCCATGGCTGCTGTTCGCAGCTGGTAGTTAGCGGGTGGGCGCGCCAGTCTGACTCCATGGCGCTGGGTGTGCTGCCCTCTGCCCAGGACCTGGCCTGACTCTTCCAGGCCCTAAAGACTGGTGCTACAGGCTGGTACAGAATCGTGCCTGATGTGAGGGCAAAGCCTCAGCAAAATACTGATTCCCGGGCTGAGCTTAGAATAGCTCCAACCAGAGGACCAGTGTCCTCTTCCCGTGTTGGGGGCTCGGCATGTCACTCTGGGGGAAATGGGCTGCTGCGGTCAGGTGTCTGGGTAGATAACGAGGACTGAGATGGTAAAGTGCGTGGTTCCTGGCAGCACAGAGTGTTTGTGCCTGAGCTGTTACAGCACAGAGTGGACAGCTTGTGCAGAGCAGCCACACCCTCCTTTTTTTCTGGGTTCCATCAAAATTCCTTGGCATCTCAGGACATTGTCTTATAAGTTAGCCCTTGTCCCCCACTCTTGGCAATAATCCCTTCTTACTGCAGTTTTTATTTAATGTTTAATATTTTCAGGGTATTTAAATGATGACAGGTTGTAAATCCATTATCCCAATAATATAATCCCTCTAGAACATCTTAACAGCCCCTTCTAGCCCTACCTTAATGCTCTGACTCTGCCCTCCAGGCCTGACTCCGCCCTGCAGGCTGTGACCCTGCCCTCTGGAGCCTGTGGTTGCCTCTCCTGAGGCAAGTCCAAGGCCTCCTGGGGGCAGCCTCTAACTGATGTGGGTAGAGAGAAGACATATAGTTGCTGGGAATACTTCTCTGAATTCTGATTGTCTCATTGGTGTTAATTGTGTTTCCCACTAGACCAGAAACTTCTTGAAAACCCTTCTATCTCTGGGAGGCTATGTAGATTCAAACAAATGTGACCTAAATTTTGCATCTGTAATAATTCCTCCTAAACCAACTTGTTTAGGAAGGTTGGTTGCAGGGAGTAGCATGAAGGAACTAGTGAGCAGGGGTTCTGAAGCTGCTTGGCGTAAGAGTAGAGGGTGTAAGGGGGAGGGGAGTGGCCCAACAGTGGTAGGACTGATCTAGGCCCGGGCCATTTCTGAGGGTGGGGCCTACACTGATGCCCGGTCAGGAGATCTGAAAGGTCTGCTTTCGTGTGGCTTTGCTTAGAATTCATCTGGAACTCAGTCGTGAAGAATGATGCGTAGAGAACTGGCCTGCTGCCCTGTCAGCTGAGGCTCCTCAGCCACAGCGTTATATGAGTGGACAGTTGAAACTGAGGCACAAACCACCCATCGTGGTCCCCATGCCACTGAGAGTGAGGGCAGGCTGTGTTGTCTGCCTCGTCACCTGGGGATCCTGGCTTTTCCCTCTGGTGGCCCCTGCTGTCTCCTCTGCCTGGGCCCTAGTCTGAATCCTGCCACCTCAGGGGTTTACCTGCTGCTGGGCCCCAGGCACAGGCCTGTGTCCTTCCTGTGGAATCTGCATGTTCTGCGCCTCCACCTGGTATCTTTCCTGGTGCAAGTGTGAGGCCGCCACCCTTCTCTTTTCTCCCCCATGGCACAGCCAGTAGGGGGACAGGCCAGCCCTGATGCCACATGTTGGTGAGCCTTGTCACTGCCATCAGTGTGTCCTCACCCGTCTCCTTATATTTGCAGCCTGCTCCAGCTGGTGATCTCGGGCCCAGTACAGCAGTCGCCACATGCAGCGCTCCCTCCTGGCTTCTACCCTCACATCCACACGCCCCCGCTGGGCTACGGGGCCGTGCCAGCCCACCCTGCTGCTCACCCTGCCCTGCCCACACACCCCGGGCACACCTTCATCTCAGGCATGACGTTTCCATTCAGGCCCATCCGCTAGGCTGGGCCCCTGTGCTGCCATGTGGCAGTGTGCCTTCTGTGCCTGGTGTGGAGGAACCTTTCAGAGAAAGGGTGACCGACCCCATAGAAGAGGACCTTTGGGAGGTGGCCAGCTATCCCCTCTTCGCCGGCAGAACTACCCTGGTGTGGAAGTTCTGTGACCTCGCCGCCCAGGTGCCTCCTCCCGGGTCCCAGCTGTGAGAGTCCAGATTGGATCGAAGAAGGAAGAATGTCCAGCCTGCAGCGCAGTGAGGGTGTCTTAAAAGATGCCCATGCTGTGAGCCTCCTTTCAGACACACACGTCTGAGCCTGCGCTGTCCGGGAGAGGACGTGCCAAGCAGCCTTTGCTGATCCGGTCGTCTGGCTTCTCTCCTTGGGAAAGAGCCGCAAGCACAGGCTGCTGTGGCAGCTGCTCCCTGAGCTCCAAGCGGGACGAGTGCGGCAGCGTCCCCAAGGCACTTGGCTCTGTGCAAGGAAACTGGGGGGGGCTGCCCCCACCAGGGAAAGCAACTTCTGTTTTATTGGGGTCTCTAAATTTTCCTTTTCATATGTTCAAATAAATTTTTCCTAAACAAGTTTTGTAGACTTTATGAAAGGTACATCCATGACCTGCTAAATGTAAGCCGCGGGGGCTGCCTCGCCAGTCTGCGGTGTCCCCTGCTGGGATCTGCTGGCACGGCAGAGCGCTGCCCAGGCCCCTTGCCCCAGGTACAGGTTCTTCCCTCAGGTACGAAACACAGCCCTCAGGAATTGGTATTTCAGTGCATGAAAGGAAGGGGTGTGCCCTGAGTTCTCATCAGTTTAGGGAGGGCAAAGCTCCCAGTAAGCTTGCCGCCGCACTCCGCTAGGCTGGACACCAGGAATGAGAGGGTTCCAAAATTTAACATTGTGGTAGAGAAAGGGAGAGGTTTAAGGCATTCCTCAAGACAAGGAACAGGCACTGTTCGCCATAAAGGCCACCCCCGGTTGCCAAGACCCCTACATGTGCTTCCGCAGACAAGCCCCTAGCCTGCCCTGAGCCCTGAGTGTCCAGCCAGGATCCTGCGGCCACAGCCTGTGTAGAGGGCCCCGCCTGCAAAGTGAAGGCTGTGGGAATCTTTTTTAAATTGCTGTTGAAAGCAATGACTGGAAAGGAAATTTCCAGCTGAAGTGGCCTGCCTCCATTTCTGGATGGGACGCGTCTGTGAAACTCAGGGTGAGTACTTGTCTGCTCTTCGGTGGCCGGCTGATGGGCGTATATTCCAAACAGGTGGGAAAGGAAGGACACTCTCACCACTGTCTAGCGAGGGGTAGTCTCCGAGCTGTCTCAGAAGGCAGCCCCTCCCCCCCCCAAACATGTCCAGGGCCTAGATATGTCCAAGTTCACTGGCAAAGGTGGGTTTTGCCAAAAGGAAAAGGAAATTGTAGGGAAAAAAAATAAAACCGCTAGAGCTACGGACTCCCTTTGCTGATATTTCTAGTAGTGTGTGAACAATTGAGTCAACCTATTAAACATAGATGCAGGTGGATGGCTCACACCTTCCCCCAGTCTTGCCTTTTTTCTTATTAATAATAGCTCCCAGCCAGTAAATGTGTACCAGGTCCTCTTAAGAGGTTTACATATGTTAAAAATTGATATGAGAAAATGTTGGTAACAGAAAACAAAGTATACAGAATGTGTAAAAACTACAGATCAGGCGGGGCTGGCTGGAGCGAGTCGGGAGCGGGCGCAGAGGCCCCAGCAGCAGGACCCTAACGAAGGCAGCACTGAGGCTGCTGTGCCCCGACGGGCCGCTCAGCCACCGCCATGGGCATCAAACTTTTAGAAGTTATCAAATCTGTGCAGTTTTACCGGAAATTCAGAAACCTGAAAGGAAGATCCAGTTTAGAGAGAAGGTACTATGGACTGCTATAACTCTTCATTTTCTTAGTATGTTGTCACATACCGCTATTTGGAATCATGTCATCAGATTCTGCAGATCCTTTCTACTGGATGAGACTTATTCTTGCATCCAACAGAGATTTATAGAGAGCTGAAAATGAAGTCTTACTTCTCAGGAGTAACTTCTGGAAAGATAATTCGTTGATGAATTAAGACCTCTTCTCTGCATACATCATTATACATGCAAATCTATGTACTTTTTTTCAATTAAAGTTTTATATAAAAAAACTACAGATCAATCAAGAGACATTCCAATTAAAAAACAAAATTCACAAAAGAAAACAGAAGTGGCCAATAAATATGGAACGATTCCAAAGCTAGTAACCAGAGAAATGTAAATTAAAATGAGATGCCATTTTTTTTTCACTTACCCATCAGGTTGGCAAAATCAGAAGCATACCTGCTACGGTTGTGGGGAGATGATCATACTCCAGAGAAATTAGGAGATAAAGTGACTAACCCAGCAATTCCAGAAACTCAAAGGAATTCACAGCAGTATCATTTGTTTAAGTGATAGCTTTATTGAGAGAGAATTCATATACCCAGCTCACTCATTGAAAGCGTGCAATTTGGGGCCTCTTGCTCAGGGGTTAAAGTCTCAGTGTTATCAAGGCTACCACCAGCCATTGAGGCATGAATTAGATCTCCGGCCAGGGAGCTACCCACATGGCGCAGCAGACCTCTCCTATCTTGCCTGCTGCTCCCCTCAGCAGTGTATTTCAGTAGATATATCTGTTCTGCCCCCACTCTGTCTCTGGTGAATCCTGTCACCCCCCTGCACCTCTGGCCTACACACTAGTTCTTGTATGCATGAATAAATCTTTAAAGAAAACAAATGCAATTCACTGGTTTTTGGTATATTTACAGAGTTGTACAACTGTCACAACTACATTAGAACATTTCATCATCTCCCAAAGGAAAACCCATCTCCATTAGCAGTCACTACCCTGCTCCTCGGTCCCCCAACCACTAATTTACTTTCTGTCTCTAGGGTTCATCTTTTCAAACATTCATAGACATGGAAGCACTCTGCATATGGCCCTTGGCCACTGGCTTCTACCATGGAGTATATATGGTGTTTTCAAGATTCATCTGTGCTGTAATGTGGGTCAAAGCTTCATCTCTTTCTATGGCTGAATTATATTCCATTGTATGCATGAAGCACATTTTGTTTATCTGTTTCTCCATTCATGGGCATTTGAGCCTTTTGACTTACAAATATTGCTACTGTGGACATCAGTGTACAGGTTTTTGTGTGGACATGTTTTCAATTGGAGATATAGCTACATACATATGGAGATTTATCTCAATATACACATATACACACATCTATATGGAAATGCTGAGTGCAGGTTTTTTTAAGATTTATTTTTAGGGCCTCCCCTGGTGGCGCAGGTGGTTCAGCCCTGCGATGTGAAGCTGTCCGAAGCCTCTGCAGCGCCAGTTTGATCCCCGCTGGCCGGTGAGAGTCCCACATGGCGCAGCAGACCTCTCCTGTCGCGCCCGCTACTCCCCTCAGCAGTGTATTTCGTCAGAACAGCCTGTTCTGTTCCCCTCTCTGTCCCTGTAAATCTCATCCTCCCGCACATCTGGCCTGTACCCTGGTTCTTGTATAAAATAAATAAATAAATCTTAAAAAAAAAAAAGATTTAATTTTATTTATGCATACAAGAGCTGAGGTGTAGGCCAGAGGTATGGGGGGTGAAAGGATTCACCAGAGTGGGGAGCAGAACAGCAGGCAGATCTACTGAAATATGCTGCTGAGGAGAGCAGCAGGTGAGACAGGAGAGGTCTGCTGCACCATGTGGGTCAACTCCCTGGCCAGGGGTCAAACTCATGTTGCTGTGGTTGCCAATAGCTTGATAGTGCTGTGTCTTTAACCCCTGTGCCACCATGCAGTAATTTTTTAATGAGGGAAATTCAAATACAACTTGACCAGTCATCCAAACAGGACTACCAACTGAGAGTCGTGAGCACCGATGCCCCTAGTGACTAGGCAGGTAATGTCAGCTGGTGGGGCCTTTGGAATTAGGAGTGGGGTGTGCTAAAGTTGAGAACACTTAGAGCTGATGGATGCCAAGCTGGACCCGTGGACCAGGATGAGTATTGCCAGGACTTCTGAGTTTACCAAAGGAGATAGAGATAAGATTTTTACATATTTTCTTTTTAAAAAAAATTTATTATTTTTGCATATAAGAACTGGGGTACAGGCCAGAGATGCGGGGGGTAAGAGGATTCACCAGAGACAAAGTGGGAAACAGAACAGGCAGACTGACTGAAATACACTGCTGAGGGAAGCAGCAGGTTGAGTCAGGAGAGGTCTGCTGCGCCATGTGGGTAGCTCCCTGGCCAGGGATCGAACTCATGCTGTAGTGGCTGTGGATAGCTTTATAAGTTGTGCCTTAACCCCTTGCGCCACCAGGGAGGCCTACATTATATTTTCCTAATTAAAAAAATAAAGCCCACATATGAAAACTAATTGACAGTGTTACAAGTGAAGATGGTGGTGGAGGATGTGTGGTGTCTAGAAGAGGCTGTCAGTGCTGGTTACACAGAAATATGCAGTTTGTGAAAATTCAAGTTGTACGTGACATGCATTTTTCTGTATGTTATTCTACTTACCCCCAAACCCCACAACATTACTTGGGTGAACCTTAATATATTCATTAGCCAGATTTGACCTTAGAGGCTTTCTATTTTTGCCCCTTAGGCTGCAGACATGGAAAGAACCTCAAGAAATATTACTAAGTGAAAGCCCCCATAGCATTTTTTCCCCAAAGATTTATTTATTTCTGCATACAAGAACTGGGGTTACTGGCCAGAGGTGTGGGGGTGGTGAGAGGATTCACCAGAGACAGAGTGGGGAACAGAA